TTCTTTTCTTTATCTCTTTTTTAGCTTTTTTACTTAAACATACTGCACACTCTTATGTTTAAACAGGTTTTAGTTATAATTTTTGACAATTATGTACTTAATTATAGAACTCTGTGTCTCCTTCACAAGCTTTGCTTTTGGAGTCATCATCATTTCAAACTTTCCTAGTGTTATATTTTCTTTGTATATTTGTGAAATTAAATTGAAATAAATATTATTATTATAGATTCATCTTGTTTATAGAATACCTACATTTCACGAGGAGTCGAGTTCAGATGGGTACACTAGTACGACGAAGCGATTGGGTGAGCAGAATTATTTTGTTTTTAACTCCGTAGTGAATTGGCCAGTTAGGCGAAGGTGGTAGATCCGTTTAGGTTCGGTGATTTAGTGCCAAGGAGAAACTGACGTGAATTGAGGCGCACGGTTTTGTTATTACTGTGCAGAGATGTTATATTACTCATGTCGAAAATAATAACGCATTGATGTAAGTGAGTTGTATAATCACATTTGTCCTGAAACAATTATTAATTATAGGATAATAGACGGGAAATAGATCAAAGTTAAAGATGTTTTTATAAAATATTTGTTGTATTGCTATCGTAAATATCCCTTATGATTATTGTACTATACACATGAATATAATTAACGTTTTTGAATTTGATATAAAATAATAAAATATTACTAAACAATATGCATAGTATAGTGGTGAATGTACTATTATTTTAGTAGATTAAATAATATTATAATAATATTATGATCATTTTCATTTACGAATAATACGTTATTTAGAACTTATATATTTATTTGTTATCGAAGTTTTTGTATGTAAAAGTTATAAGTAAGTTATAAGTATTTAGTTCATTTAAAAATTCATTTATAGTGTACGATAACAAAATATTATGCAGTATTTTAAATTAAATATTGTACAATTACTATGAAACAATGTTCTTATATATACATTTATTTTTAATTATTTATATAAACATATTATTATAAAAATATATTACCAACCTATTATAAATATATAATTAATTAATTCTATTATCATAAAATATTATGCTTGTCCATATAATAGGTACCTACATACAAAATACATAATATTAGATTAATATGTTTATGTTACCATTATTATAGGAATTATATTTTTTATTTTGCACATTGATGAAAAAATATGTATTTCTGTAAGTTTTATTTAATCCATTACATAAATTACAACTCAGTTAGCTTATACTAATTAGTAATATATATCTAATGTAAATCAGTAATAATTTATCTACACGTTAAACTTAAGTCCTAAATGTCTTATTCTGTTTTAGATTCATAATCAAGCGAACGAGCTATACGTTGCTCCTACAATGAAGAGAGATATTGTATTTTACCATTTTATATACCTAGTCAATAATTATCTATAGTAAGTAACTATTGATTTGACATTCAACATACGATTTATTTCACTTAGATTTAACTTTGAAGATGTAGTTTTTTATCTGTACTACCTAGTATAGGTACCTACTTAGATATTTTACAATATCAATTTATATACAATATGTTTTGTACTTGCAAAAACTTCAAATTTATAGTTCAATAAATAATTAAAAATCAATTATTTAAATTAAATAATATTTTAATAATTACTAAATAATTGTGTAGGTAAGTTCAAGAAAAGCAATAATTACAAAAATTATATTACTATTAAATATCTGAGAAAACCTAAGAGTAGTGTTTAAACAGCCTTCGATCAAAACGAATATTGTTGCCAGTCTTAATTTTAAACTCTTCTTTGGGATGAAATAATGAATGAATTCTTCTTAAATTAAAAAAAAAATTGACACAGAATCAATAATTATTCGATAGTCGATATAATATTGCATTATAGACACCGTGCAGCCGCTGGAAAACAGCGCACCGTAGTGGTGAATGCACGCAACTTTTGTATGATAATTAAATAATTTACCATGGTTATTTATATTAATTATTATTAAAAACTTATATTTATTTTTGTTGTTTTTCATAATCACTAGTCACTGTCACTATGAAATATATCAATGGGTGATTATAAGTGGTTTATAAATTATTGGACTATTTAATATTTATATTTTATTAATTCAGTTTGTTAAGTTTGTTTGTAATTGTATCTACTGTTTACTGTTATACTGTTATACACATAGTACCTACTTACCTGAAAATATTATATTACACACTACACACATAGGTACTATAATAGATTTGAAATTTCTACTACATAATGATTCAACCAGATATCATCTTTAACTGTGGCTTTAGAACCATTACATATAACTGTGAATTTAAAAATAATAAAGGCGTTAAGTTGTTCGAAAGTGGTCATGTGCACACAGTATCTGAAGTACAGCAGCCAAATGGATATGGTACCATCAACGGTTATGTTATTAGGCAGACATCAGTCACTCTGCCACCTTATAAAGTTACATTTGAAGTAGGTACAAAAATCAAATGTAAAAAAGTAACTAGTCTAATTCTTAAATTGTATTTATAAATAGATCCCTTTAGGAATGTAACTCATTGTTTTTGCGAATGTCCTGCTGGAGCTGGGAATAAGTGTAAGCACATTGCTGCACTTTTTTATTATATAAATAATGAAGAGAGTAATTCAAAAACAAATGTAGAACAAGAATGGGGAAAACCTTCAAAATCAGGTGAAGCCAAGTACAAAAAAGGCAGAACCATCGAATATCTATATCCTAAAAAGAAACAAAATTATTCTAAATCTGAATGTAATACAACTAACAGAACTATTAGTCATAAGGCACTTGTGAATGAATGTAAAATATTAGAAATTCCTTGTATTCTCAGTAAAATGATTGAAAAAGAAATACAAAGTGAGGCTGATATTGAGTGTCAGAGATGTTTATTAGATTTGTTAAACGAGGTGGAAAAGTCAGTAGACATTGATTTTTTAAACTTTATTCTCACCAAACAAAATGCATATGATATTGCCTTACCACCAATGATAGGTTCTTACTTTCCATTAAATTTAAATGAAAATAAATTTTATATGAATAATATTGTAGTTGATTTAAAACAAATTATAAACATATTTAACGAGACTAAAATGCAGTCTGAGAGTAGCAAATGGAAAGAAGTTCGAAAGAATAGAATCTCAGCTAGTGTTAAAGCGCATAAGATAAAAACTTGCAAAAATTTATCGGTTGAAAATCAAGAAAGGTTAGCTGAGACTTTACTAACAGAAAAAGAATTGGGTTATCAGGGAAAAATTAATGTGTCTTATGGTAACAAGTATGAAAGTGAAGCAATCATGTTTTATAGCAAAATGTTTAATAATATAATTATTCTGAAGTGTGGAGTAATTGTTCATTCACAAAGACCATGGCTTTGTGCAAGTCCTGATGGTCTTGTTATTGAAAACAAAGTTCCTATAAAAATTTTAGAAGTTAAATGTCCAATATCATGCCAAAATAAACCTATATTTGATCTAAAACAAAAAAAATGTAATTTGCCTTACTTAGAATATAAGAATAATAAATTTTTTTTAAAAACAACACATCAATATTATACTCAGTGCCAAATTTTAATGTATTGCACTGGTATAAGTCATTGTGATTTATTGGTGTACAATAAGATAGACCCACTAGTGATTACAATTGAGAAGAATATTTTATTTTTACAAACCATTTTAAAAAGACTGGAATATTTTTATTTTCATTTTTTCTTACCAAGATGTTTGCTTGAATAAAGATTTTATTAAGTTGTTCGTTGATTTATAAAACCTATTTTACCTGTTGAACATTTAATATTAAATAAATAAGATACACTTGTTGTTGTGTTACATAGTTATTAATATTAATAATAATATTTTACATTGTAATAGTTTTAAAGAATTTGTTAATTATATTAACATTTATAATACACAATATATACACAATTATATTATTAATTATATTATAATTATATGATTTAAAAATAAATGTTACATTGTTAATCTTTAATTATAGGGTTTTGTAAATTAATTAACACACAACATATATGCATAATATCATCTACATGGGGTAACAAATCTATAGTTATTTTATTTAAAATTCCCAAAGTTTTTAATTTGGCAAAAACTCTTTCAATGTGGATTCTCACACTAGCAATATTGTATGTTTCAACTACTTCATTTTCACTAAATCTCCCATTATGAAGAAAAGGAGGCATTATTAAAATACTGTTTTTATTTTCACAAGAGACCTTAATACCTGGAAAACCTTTATCTGCCAAAACTTCATCACCTTTTTCAAGTTTTGATAAAAAACCACAGTCATTGGTGATAAATGTGTCACTTGCTCTACCCCCATAACATTTTGATAAAAATGAAATTAAACCACTAGGAGTAATTGCTACTAGAGTTTTTACTGTGTAAGCACTTTTATATCTTGAATACATGTTAACTCTTTGCTCAACTGTACTTGGTTGCTCAGTTTTTATCTCTGTGCAATCAATAATACAGCGGCAGTTAGGATAATTTTGCTTAAATGCTCTTGGTAAAGTATCTAAAATTGATTTTTTGTTGGGCCAAAAGATAAAATGTTTTGTTTTGCTAACTAAAGAATTTAGAACCGAATAAAATATTCTTGACACAGTCGTACGATTAATATTAAATAAAATAATACTCCAATGGCTGAATATGATATACCCAATTTAATTTTGATGAGAAAAATCATTAATCTATTTTCTTTACTCACAGCACTATAACAAGAATCAGAGATAAATGAAAGTAGCAAGTTAAAAACTTTAAATGTAGTACTGGTTAAGTCTTTTAATTGTGACTCGTTAGTTATAGAATGATATCCTAAAAAAGAATTCATGTTTAAACAAGATACATCTGGACCACAAGCAATGTCTTTAGTATTAGAAATTTTAGAAATATTATTTGATAATGGGATATTTGCTTGAGTTCCAACATCATTATTCAATTTATTAAATTCGCATTCAAATTTAAATGGATTTGCATTTTTAAAATCAAACATAACTTGAATTCCCACATTAGAGACACAATTCGAGCTTTCACACTGAAGTGGTTCTATGATTTCTACTTCTGAAGACTTGACATCATTTATCATCATTTTTAACTTTTTGTCTTGACGGTTTGATGTTCGTATATACCTATCACTCAGCTGTTTAATATTAACTTGTTTCTTTTTGTACACTTCAGGAAACAATGATGGTATGTATGAAGGGCTATTTGAGTCATTTGAGCGTTTATTACCANTATAGACACCGTGCAGCCGCTGGAAAACAGCGCACCGTAGTGGTGAATGCACGCAACTTTTGTATGATAATTAAATAATTTACCATGGTTATTTATATTAATTATTATTAAAAACTTATATTTATTTTTGTTGTTTTTCATAATCACTAGTCACTGTCACTATGAAATATATCAATGGGTGATTATAAGTGGTTTATAAATTATTGGACTATTTAATATTTATATTTTATTAATTCAGTTTGTTAAGTTTGTTTGTAATTGTATCTACTGTTTACTGTTATACTGTTATACACATAGTACCTACTTACCTGAAAATATTATATTACACACTACACACATAGGTACTATAATAGATTTGAAATTTCTACTACATAATGATTCAACCAGATATCATCTTTAACTGTGGCTTTAGAACCATTACATATAACTGTGAATTTAAAAATAATAAAGGCGTTAAGTTGTTCGAAAGTGGTCATGTGCACACAGTATCTGAAGTACAGCAGCCAAATGGATATGGTACCATCAACGGTTATGTTATTAGGCAGACATCAGTCACTCTGCCACCTTATAAAGTTACATTTGAAGTAGGTACAAAAATCAAATGTAAAAAAGTAACTAGTCTAATTCTTAAATTGTATTTATAAATAGATCCCTTTAGGAATGTAACTCATTGTTTTTGCGAATGTCCTGCTGGAGCTGGGAATAAGTGTAAGCACATTGCTGCACTTTTTTATTATATAAATAATGAAGAGAGTAATTCAAAAACAAATGTAGAACAAGAATGGGGAAAACCTTCAAAATCAGGTGAAGCCAAGTACAAAAAAGGCAGAACCATCGAATATCTATATCCTAAAAAGAAACAAAATTATTCTAAATCTGAATGTAATACAACTAACAGAACTATTAGTCATAAGGCACTTGTGAATGAATGTAAAATATTAGAAATTCCTTGTATTCTCAGTAAAATGATTGAAAAAGAAATACAAAGTGAGGCTGATATTGAGTGTCAGAGATGTTTATTAGATTTGTTAAACGAGGTGGAAAAGTCAGTAGACATTGATTTTTTAAACTTTATTCTCACCAAACAAAATGCATATGATATTGCCTTACCACCAATGATAGGTTCTTACTTTCCATTAAATTTAAATGAAAATAAATTTTATATGAATAATATTGTAGTTGATTTAAAACAAATTATAAACATATTTAACGAGACTAAAATGCAGTCTGAGAGTAGCAAATGGAAAGAAGTTCGAAAGAATAGAATCTCAGCTAGTGTTAAAGCGCATAAGATAAAAACTTGCAAAAATTTATCGGTTGAAAATCAAGAAAGGTTAGCTGAGACTTTACTAACAGAAAAAGAATTGGGTTATCAGGGAAAAATTAATGTGTCTTATGGTAACAAGTATGAAAGTGAAGCAATCATGTTTTATAGCAAAATGTTTAATAATATAATTATTCTGAAGTGTGGAGTAATTGTTCATTCACAAAGACCATGGCTTTGTGCAAGTCCTGATGGTCTTGTTATTGAAAACAAAGTTCCTATAAAAATTTTAGAAGTTAAATGTCCAATATCATGCCAAAATAAACCTATATTTGATCTAAAACAAAAAAAATGTAATTTGCCTTACTTAGAATATAAGAATAATAAATTTTTTTTAAAAACAACACATCAATATTATACTCAGTGCCAAATTTTAATGTATTGCACTGGTATAAGTCATTGTGATTTATTGGTGTACAATAAGATAGACCCACTAGTGATTACAATTGAGAAGAATATTTTATTTTTACAAACCATTTTAAAAAGACTGGAATATTTTTATTTTCATTTTTTCTTACCAAGATGTTTGCTTGAATAAAGATTTTATTAAGTTGTTCGTTGATTTATAAAACCTATTTTACCTGTTGAACATTTAATATTAAATAAATAAGATACACTTGTTGTTGTGTTACATAGTTATTAATATTAATAATAATATTTTACATTGTAATAGTTTTAAAGAATTTGTTAATTATATTAACATTTATAATACACAATATATACACAATTATATTATTAATTATATTATAATTATATGATTTAAAAATAAATGTTACATTGTTAATCTTTAATTATAGGGTTTTGTAAATTAATTAACACACAACATATATGCATAATATCATCTACATGGGGTAACAAATCTATAGTTATTTTATTTAAAATTCCCAAAGTTTTTAATTTGGCAAAAACTCTTTCAATGTGGATTCTCACACTAGCAATATTGTATGTTTCAACTACTTCATTTTCACTAAATCTCCCATTATGAAGAAAAGGAGGCATTATTAAAATACTGTTTTTATTTTCACAAGAGACCTTAATACCTGGAAAACCTTTATCTGCCAAAACTTCATCACCTTTTTCAAGTTTTGATAAAAAACCACAGTCATTGGTGATAAATGTGTCACTTGCTCTACCCCCATAACATTTTGATAAAAATGAAATTAAACCACTAGGAGTAATTGCTACTAGAGTTTTTACTGTGTAAGCACTTTTATATCTTGAATACATGTTAACTCTTTGCTCAACTGTACTTGGTTGCTCAGTTTTTATCTCTGTGCAATCAATAATACAGCGGCAGTTAGGATAATTTTGCTTAAATGCTCTTGGTAAAGTATCTAAAATTGATTTTTTGTTGGGCCAAAAGATAAAATGTTTTGTTTTGCTAACTAAAGAATTTAGAACCGAATAAAATATTCTTGACACAGTCGTACGATTAATATTAAATAAAATAATACTCCAATGGCTGAATATGATATACCCAATTTAATTTTGATGAGAAAAATCATTAATCTATTTTCTTTACTCACAGCACTATAACAAGAATCAGAGATAAATGAAAGTAGCAAGTTAAAAACTTTAAATGTAGTACTGGTTAAGTCTTTTAATTGTGACTCGTTAGTTATAGAATGATATCCTAAAAAAGAATTCATGTTTAAACAAGATACATCTGGACCACAAGCAATGTCTTTAGTATTAGAAATTTTAGAAATATTATTTGATAATGGGATATTTGCTAGAGTTCCAACATCATTATTCAATTTATTAAATTCGCATTCAAATTTAAATGGATTTGCATTGTTAAAATCAAACATAACTTGAATTCCCACATTAGAGACACAATTCGAGCTTTCACACTGAAGTGGTTCTATGATTTCTACTTCTGAAGACTTGACATCATTTATCATCATTTTTAACTTTTTGTCTTGACGGTTTGATGTTCGTATATACCTATCACTCAGCTGTTTAATATTAACTTGTTTCTTTTTGTACACTTCAGGAAACAATGATGGTATGTATGAAGGGCTATTTGAGTCATTTGAGCGTTTATTACCAACAAAATGTTCACTGCAGATAACAGAATGAGGCCTAGGATACCACAATTGACCATTATTGCTAAAAGCAGATTTACAGAGTTCAATTTTAATACATTATCCACAAACAAATTAAATATATTATGCTTTTATTTAGCTTACTCTAAACGTTTAACTGCATAAATCCATTGCTTCTTTAATTCACTCTGGTAAGGCTTGTTTGGAAAATTATAAAACTTAACATTTGTAGTGTTTTTATAAGTATTACTACAGTTAACAACACAGCAGATTTTACTCATTTTAAACAATAAATAGGAAATAAATAAAAATGTATGGAAAAATAGAAATACAGTCAATAAATACAAATAATTAAAAATTGGTATTTACTATTTAAAAATGTTTTAATTATTAATGATAATTAATAATATAGGTAAGTACCATAATGTCCATAATGGCATAATGTAATATCCGTATCAATGATCATACAAAAACTGCATGCGTACACTACACTGGGACCTTCTCAGAATTGTTTTCCATTTCTGATGATAACTATTAAATTTAAATCAGTAGTATCCGTCTAAATGTCTAGTCCACTATTTTACAGCTATGTTGAAGTGAGCTAAAGCTGAGATGAATCAATCAACTTTTAAACATTTGGATATAATATGTAGGTACGTATATAGGCAATATGCACCTAAAATATACTGTATAACAATATATTAAGTTCATCATTAATTAATAATCGACAATCAAAAACAGTTACGGACTGTAAGACATTTTTTTTTATTCAAACTTGTTACCTGAGTGAATGTACATTTAGTTTTTTTATAATATTATATTTAACAATATAGGTATAATCAAAAATATTTGTAAATAGGGTATTATTTAAATTTGGTAATTAATTATTGTTTTAAAAATTATTCAACCGGGAGGAAAGTAATTAAAGATAATTCATTAACTAAACTTAAATATCGTTATCCTATAAACATATTTAATAGTCTTACTTAAAATATAAATTTCAAAGAATCTATTTATGAATAAATTAAGACAATTTATTATATTATAACTTAGTTTTAATTACACAAATTATAAATTAAAATGAGGTACCTACGTCACGCCAGTACCTTCAAATTCTGAATTTTTGTACGAAACTTTCACTACATTTTGTAACCATTTTGTAATGAAATGTAAACACAATAATTTTTTTTTGTAACTTATAAGTGAGTTTAGAGTGCATCAACCCATTATGGAATTGAATGGTAAAAACATTATTTGTGTTTGTATGTGGATTTTTTAAGACAGTTGAGTTTTTAATCTAGCTATGATCATTTTTAAATTGCGCTATTTTAAATACACAAAATTCGCTAAAAAATTTAACCATCGTGAGCACCATACAGATATTGTTCTTAAAATTAAGTTTCATAACAGGTCAACAGGTCGATTAGTTCTAATTCTTAAAATAACGAAGCTAATAAACGTGAGCTGAATTCTAAATGTAATTAATATTCTATGTTACTCTAGTAACTTCAAATACGGAGACTGCAAATGCGAGCTCTGCGTCCTCTTAACAGTTATTACTACGCACAGAGTACAGACTTACTACTCATCATGTGCAGTCGTCACTCATCATATTGATACATCGCCATATATATATCAGCCATGACGAAATAAAAATTAATTTCATCATTAATATCAATGTTAAACATACAACGTGTATTTATTAGTTTGCGAAAAATGAACAATCGAAGATTTACGAATAACAATTATTCGTACAAATTATTAGATCTATAAATTTAAACTTAAAATGTATATTACGCGTCTTGTATCTAATTACACACTCTCGTGATTTATTAATTTATTACACGCCATATGGATATTTGGAAAAAAATGTAAAAAGTAACATTATAGCAAGAGTAAACACATGTTTAAATAGTAGTTTAAATTAAATATACTAAACAATTTACAAATAATTTACAAACGAGTAGTAAAAGATTAGAACACGAATATAAAAAGGAGAAGGTGTGGTCCAAGTTTGTTATTTGCATGCAGCGACGATATAGTTGGTTGTTTACATAGTCAGACCTTGGGGTGAGGTTGGAAATATAAGAGTTGTAAGTTGGGGTAGTAAAGTAGGGGAGTCAATTTCACATTTGTGCAATTGAGTGAATTTCGAAGAGACGTTAAGTTAGCGGCTTGCCTATGCTTTGCCTACGGTCAGCTAAAGAAACTAAGTTTTTATACACAATTTAAATTTTGTACTTCACCAAAAAAGGTTGTTTAAATATTTTTGTAGTTTATTTATGTTTAATGAGTTTTCTTGATTGCTATTTGTAATCGAAGTAGAATGTCTTATATTTTATAAACTAATGACCAAAAATAATTAACATACGCGTATGTGTTATAATTTAAAATGTACACTCATTTTTATTACTCATTTTTAGAACAACCAATTATTGTACATGGTTTTTGGTTTTTGGTATTTTTTAATTTCAGTAAATATATAGGTACAAAAAAGGTATATAAGTAGTTATCACTTGAGTTTACATCATTCTAAAATCTAAACTTACATTTTGATAAAAATGAAAACTATAGTTCTGTTCTGACTTACTTAGAATTGTATTGAATAAATTATTTTAGATTCTGAGTAAAAATATGAATGTATTCATTTCACAATGATTTGGGTTTTTATTTAGATTTTTTAAGCTTTTGTAATTCCCTTATCATCTTTTGGAAAAGTAAAAATGCTACAATCGTTAACTTCCAATATAATGACTGGTTGGAAAGTAAATTTACTTACTTCAAGGTGCTAAAAGTAATAAGTTTTCTTATATTGTTGTAATTAAAAATTAATAATTGTAGATACTCCATCGGATATTTATATTAGTATTTTATGTACATGGTAAAATGTTCATAATGTATTGATTTTTTTGAGCAATTTATAAATTAAGGAAATTTGAAATTTATGATATTTTCTATAAATATCAATAGAAAAATTATGCATCATCTTCAAACTGCTTAAAAATGTAAAATACGATTTACAATATTCCTTATATGTTTTGTAAGCTGGAAATTAAAAAAAAAAGTTGAGTGTAAACCTACAATAATTTTGAACGAGCTTTTGAACTTTTGAAATTATAAATTTTACAATATTCATCATATAGGTTAGTATATTATGAAAATTGCCAAACTTTTTTGTAATTTAAAATTTATAAAATGTTTAATATTGTATATTGATACTTGAGGTCTTAAAATGTAATATTAGGTTTTATATAAGTATTTATTACAAGAATTTAATAAAAAATTGATTGTGAATCTACAAATATTTTCTTGAGCGTATGAAGATTTAGTTTCGATGAAACTTGAATATTCATACATAATATTATATAGATTTCTCATTAAACGATTTTAGTATGGTTAATGTATTCAGATGATACCGATTGTAATCGTAGAGACTAGAAACATTTAACTGTTACTAAAATTATCATTTTCTATACTTAATAACATTTTTGAAATACTTAAACTATATTTAAGCCATTTATAAGCATTTTATATTTTAAGATTTTTTAGATTTTTTTAAAGTGGTGATCAAAATGTAGAATCAGTCAAAAAGTTTGAATATTTATTTAAAGATTTCGCATAAGTTGGTTTTTTGCATTTTAAAAAGTACATAGGAATGGTTTATTTTATTGAAGTTAAAATGTTATCAAAATTCACTACACACATGACAATTTGTGAATTATTTTGAATCTTGAAATGGATAAAACGTTTAATTTTTATAGCTAAGGCTTGGTAATTGAAACAAGGTGTAATAAAGTGCAAGACTTTTAGACTGTTAGGTTTAATTCACATGTTTAAAGTATAATTGAAAATTATAATATAGTATAGGTTATGAGCTGATGTGATGACTATTGTCATCACTTTATTAAAATCATACAAGGTTCACCAAAAGTACTTCTTACTGCAGAAACCCAACAAATATATAATCATAATTTTTTTTTTATACTTAAACAAAGAATAATGATTTTAGTTACTTTGCTGTAATTCAAATATTTTATTCGTTGGGACTTGAAAATTTTTCCTAGACATATTATTGACATTTTAAAAATATTTAGATTATTCCCTATATATACTCGTACTATAATAACGCCAACCGTTATACAACTTGTAAAATAAATTATTACTGCAACGAGAAACGGCAGTATATTCTTTCACTAAAACATACTTAATGATAATACAGGCAGACAGATCGGCTCCGTTTAGAATCGTTTTTCTTACGCAATGATATCCATTATAATCATTATGGCCTATTACATTGACCAATACAGTTATGAGTCACACTCTGCTTTTATAGTACACCAGAATGGTTACCTACTTGCTCACTTTTTCATTCAAATATTACGGTGTTTAGTACTCACATCACTTTCAAAAATAATACACAATTATAAAATTATTAAGAACAGTTCCGTGATGTTTGTACTGTTTGTTCAAATGTATAACCACGGTATTTAATATGCATTCATCGGAAGAATGCTTATAGTTATTAGCGTTTTGTAATAAAATATATAAGCTGGTTTATAGATATGAATAATACACGACTTAATACATCTACAAAAAGACAACCCTTTTACATCCGGTGGTATAAAATACTGATATAAAAATTATATTTTACTGGCAGAATATTGTAACATTATTTCTGAATTCACCCTATTTATGTAGCCCGAGTTAAGTTCTCTGAACATTATCTAAAGATGAGAGGGCGTCTATTCTTATGTAAATGATAATACCCTTTGGTTGAATGTTGGTCATTATATCGTAATAAAAAAAGCTCATTTTTACTATTTGGATAGGCATAATTTATATAACTTAGGAGTTCAAAGAGGCTAGCTACTGTGCAATTTATACATATATTATAATAATATGATTGAGTGACTGTGTAATATGTTATTGAAGTGCGTATGATATGCAGTTTTCATGGATTTAATTCATTCGAGTAATCAATTCTTAATTAAATGGTTGATTATTTTTTTTTCAAACAGATGTTTTGATTATGATTTTAGATTTTTAGGCTTACCTATTTTAAAGTTGTTTTATGATTTCGTTTACAATTATTATAAATTAATTTGTGTCGTTTTTATTTGACTATGCAATTACCGCCTTTTATTGTCAGTATAATGTGTCTCAGATAGGTCACTTCTGCAATATACCCACGTAGGTATACATATATACTAGTTAGCTGCTGTATCATGTCTTTTGAAAAAAAAAAAAACGATTAATCATCACGTTTAAAAAGTGTTTTTGATCAAACCTGTAACGTGGATTTGAGACTTTTACCAATTATTTATTTACTCTTATAATAATATGAACCTAGGTACGCATTTTAATCTTTAAATTATTTACACAATTATATTCATATTGAGTTGCATAGAAAAAAAAAATGTAATACTTTAAATTTATTATG